GGAGTCTAGCAAGAAGTGGCCAAGGCGCAGATTGTTTAAGAGGAAGGATGTGAGCAAACTGGATCCCAAGAGGACAGACGGAGGCCCACTTTGCCTCAGAGTCCAGAGAGCTGCTGCTGCTAAGAAGGGAAAGAGGAACTGGGTCAGTGCGCCTGCTGACTTGCAGCGCTGTGTTGGCATGCGAGGTAGTGCTGGTTGGGAGGTCGTTACCTGAAGGAAGCAAAGGCAGCTGGCGGTTCCTATCTTTTTGCCTCTGGCAGCACCTAAAAGAAGCCTCTTGGGCCAACAGGAGGATGGACTGTCCACGGCTGCAGAGTTCTGTGAAGTGCTGCGGACGTGTTCGTTGATCTCATTTGGTGCCTCCCTCTGTTGATGGCTCAGGAAGCCGAGGCTCTGAGAAGGCACATGCTTTACCCGAGGGGACGCAGGCGAGGAATCTGAACCCAGATTGCATTTTCTGGTCTAGGGCTCTTTGTGTGACCACGGTGCTTCCCAGACCCACACTTCTAGTGTTCCAGGCCCTTGACCACCCATTCTGTGGAGGGGTCCTCAGGGCAGGCAGTGGGACCACCTGAGGCCTGTGTGGGGTGGCCTGTGGTGTGAGGGACCCAGGAAGTCAGCCTGTGTCTGGGCAAATCAGAAGACGTGGCCATCTACCAGCCATCAGATGTTCCCGTACACTTAGGGCTGTGACCAGAAGTGGCATCAAGATGGGAGGTGAAGCTTCTGGGACCAGAGAACCAGCTGCTCCTATTCATTCTGCTTTTGGCTCCCTCATCCCACCATCCCACCCCGTGGCTCCTCCTGAGTAGGGCTGAGGGCATTTACCTGGCTTTCTTCTAAGGCAGACTTGGCACGAGAGAATCTCATTCAAGCTGTGCTCAAAATTGCTACCCTGAGGAGAGGGCTGTGACCAGGCAGGGCAGGGTGTGATAACATGGAATCCAGGGCCTGCTGGAGCAGGCCCTGATGAGTGTAAATAACTGTGTTATAGGCAGGACCTGAGCTTTTCACTTCATAAATATACATTACTTCTAATGTGGCCAGGGCCGAGCTAAAGATCATAATTATGTGAGATCTGCTTTACAGACATTTAGGGAAATGTGTGGGGCTGCACTGATGTAGGCAAAGATGTGGCCACATACATTTAACATGTGTCTCAAAGGAGCCTTTGCTTTAACCCTTTATCAGACCCTGCCAGGGTGCTCCTGACTTGATGTCCCAGAGCGTTTGGAATCAGAGTTGCGCTCTTTTTTCTTGCTTTAAATGCACTTGAGTTTTAACCCAACTTCTGGACGGATGGCAGGGCCGCATGAGGGGGTCTCCATGGGTGGGGATAAGTCCAGAGAAGTCAGCTGAGCTGACTGGGCAGGTCTTGCATAAGTCACGCCATTTCTCTGAGCCTCAGTTTCTCCAGCAGTAAAATGTTACTTGTCTCTTAGGGTTGTTGTAAGGTTGAGTTAACGTGTATACAAGGCATTGCTTGGTGTTTACCACCTTGCTGTGAGCTGGTAAATGGTTGATTGGTCCCTTCCTCTCCCCTTGATGTTAAGCATATTGAAAGATGGCCACGTGCTCACCTCTCCTGCTTTACTGGGTGGACAAAGGAGCTGTCACACAGTGTGGCAGCCTCAGAAAGGTTACAGAAGGCCAGTAAAGTTTTCCGGCTCCTCTGGTCCTGAGGCAGGTGAGCATTAAACCCAGATTCTTTTTGTGTTTTAGTATTGGATCCTTTGGCTGACATATCTGAGACCCAGGGCCTTGGAGTGTGGGGTCCTAACCTAATTTGGCTTTGGATGAACTGGCCAGTAAATGGAAGGACAGCTGTGGAAGTGTGTCTCGAACCTGTCCTTACGCAGGTGTGGCTGGCATCAAGGCCAGCTTCATGGGCACATGACAAGTGCAGTCACACAGAGTTCATGCTCAGGAGGGCCCTATGCTTGGTTTAATGCTCTGCTGTCACCATCTTGAAATTCTTTTTTTCTTTTGTTTTTGGCTCTTGTTGCCCGAGCTGGAGTGCAATGGCTCAATATCAGCTCTCTACAACCTCCGCTTCCTGGGTTCAAGTGATTCTCCTGCTTCAGCCTCCCAAATAGCTGGGATTACAGACACCCGCCACCATGCCCAGCTAATTTTTGTATTTTTTTTTTTTTACTAGACATGGGGTTTCACCATGTTGGTGAGGCTGGTCTCGAACTCCTGACCTCAGGTGATCCACCAGCCTTGGCCTCCCAAAGTGCTGGGATTACAGGTGTAAACCACTGCATCTGGCCCATCTTGAAATTCTTAATAATTTTATCTTTGACCTAGTGTTTTGGAGCATGAGCATGGGTAGAGATGTGGGCAGTATGTGAGCCTTGAGCCTTCTGCTCCATTCACATGTAGCATTTGAGCACAGACTTCTGCTGGACCTGCAATGTGGGGGAGTTGAGTGAGAGTGAAAGCGAGTATGAGATGTCACATCTGCAACTGAGTAGGTGGGGACCCTGACAGTCCTGATGCTTTCCATCTGAACTGGAGCTTGTCTTGGACGTAGAAAGAAGGCGATGACATTCTAAGAAACATCAATGACCAAAGAGCCCCATCATATCCTTTATTAATCATGTCACTTCCCTTGCACCAACCACTTATACTGCAAATGATGACGGAAGAAGGAAGAGGAAAGATAGGGCACCCGTAATGCCTTTTCTTCTCAGATCTTCCTCACTCCCCAGGAAGCATAAAGAGTGATGGTAGAATGGACAGTATCGAGAAGCGAAGTAAAAACGATTGAGATAGCTTTATGGATGTTTCTCTGGTTCTGGTACGTCACAAAATGCATATCCAAGCCCTAAAATACAATTCATGTAATGTTGGTGATTCCACATACTGGTTAAAGGCTTTTTATATTTGCAGTTAAAACTGGCATCACACAATATAAATAGTAGTGGTAAAATTCATGCTAATTCATGCAATTTAAAATTTTAATGTTGCTTTACTTAGAATAATATTAAATAGCAAATTAAAAACACCATGACACATCAAGAGAGAGACTGTGGAAGAAAGAGAAAAAGCTTTCTATTTTAGTACCATGATTGGTACTTTTTTTTTTTTTTTTTTTTGCCTTTTGCACAAAGGGTTCCATATTTTTGTTTTGCACTGGGCCCCACAAATTATGCAGCCAACCCTGACTGGCGTCCTGGGGCTGGAGGTCTCAGGCTGGTCTTGCACGGGCAGCCTCTAGATCCCTGGTCTGCTCACATTGTCTCCTGGGTTGCGGAGCCAAGAAACAACCTATAGGCAAGTGAGCATGTACGCTTGCTCTGAAGATTCCAAGCTTCCAGGTGGTGGTGGCTCTGTTGATAGAGAGAAAAGGTGAGGAATTTCAGAGGCTACAAACATACTCTTGTTGAAGGTGTTTTTGGGGTCTCCTGTGCGTTTACTTTTGTGAATTTTTGGGCAGCCTAGTATAGAGGCATGAGCCAGCAGTGAGCTGAGAGAGAGGCCCTAGTTTGACTCTTAACTCAGGCATGGTCTTCTTGGGTGAGTCATTTCTTCATCAGGCAGTCCTCAGTCTTTTGGTTGCAGTGTAGTTGTTAAAAATGTGGGCTGCTTGGAGGCTGAATTCTTGGGTCCAATCTTATCTCCATCTCTCTGTCCTTTTTTTATTTTTGTGTTTTTTTTGAGACAGGTTATTCCTCCACCACTCAGGCTGGAAGGCAGTGGTATGATACTGGCAAACTGCAGCCTTGACCTCCCAGCTTAAGTGATCTTCCCATCTCAGCCTCCTGAGTAGCTTGGGACTACAGGCATTCACCTCTGTACTGGGCTAATTTTCATTGTTTTCTGTTTTTGTTGCTGTTGTTTGTAGAAACAGAGTTTCACTATGTTGCCCCAGGCTGGTCTCAAACTTGAGAGCTCAGGCTGTCTGCCTGCCTCAGCCTCCCAAAGTGCTGGGATTACAGGTGTGAGCCACTGCGCCCGGCCTTGTCTCCATCTCTTAACTAGTTGTTTGACGTTGGGCAGGTTGTTCAAGCCTCCTGGAGCCTTGGTTACCTGTCTATAAAATGGGTATAATGGTAACTACCTTATAGCATGGTCATGAGCATGAAATGAGGGCAGAGGGAGGAGTTAACATTGTGTCTAGTCAATGGGATTGAATCAATGCTAGCAAGGGTCATGATGGTGAAGAATGAGGGTAGGAGGAAGAAACAGTTCCCGTGGGGGCTAGGACCAATAGTAGTATCCTCTAGGAATCCTGACCTTCAAGGTCTAACTTCCGAGATTCTGTGAATACGGTTCTAGGGAGCCTCTGCCTCCGACTTCTAAGTAGTTCTTCAGGCTGTACTGTAGAAGTTACTGGAATGAAAGAAAAAGTGTAGTGTTTGAAGGTCTTCAAGGATCCTGGTCCTCTCACCCTGTTACTGTCAGTCCCATGACCTTTGACTGTCCATTCCCCACTAAGCCTTGCTTTACACATCTGTCAAATGGAGCGGCCATGGGTGTGCCTGCCTTAGAGGATGAGACCCAGCTGAGATGACCTGCGGAGAAATCTTTTATAAACTTTCAAGTGCTGGTGTTAGGAAGAGCTAACATGGTGAGTCTTCAGTGTTTATTTAAATGCTGCTCACTACTGTCCTGAGAGACTCCAAGAAGGAGTTACTTTCTTTGGGCCCCAGTTCATCATCTGTGAGATGAGAGGATTGTGCCATAAACTGCCCCCCCCGCCCCCGCCCCTACCCAAGGCAGATTAAAAAAGAAGGAAGAAGGAAGGGAGGGAGGGAGGGAGAGAAAGAAAGAGCGAGCAAGCCAGCAGGATTTGGAATCGTCCTCTAACTGGAACCACAATCGCAGGTTTCAGGGACTCAGGAAGGGGTGCAGCCCAGCTTGCGGTTGAGAAATGAATGTCAGATGTTAGGAAGAAAAAGGCCTATCTCAACGCAGCAGGGGTTTCTTGCTGTCCCTGCCTCCTCAGCCCCGGTAGCCTGTCGCTCCCTGGCGAACAGCTTGGCAGCACAGAGGCAAACCACAGAGTACATTTGAGGCCCAGATCTGCTTATTTCAAGGGTGGGGCCGCGTTTTTCTCCTGCCACAGCGAGCTAATTAAAGAAAACAAGCTTGGGGAGTTGGGAGAGAACTGTCCACAGGACACTTGGGGAGGCTTGCATTGGTTGTGGAGGCCTCCACAGCCCCCGGAAGGCAGGTGGAAGTGGGCATGGAGGATCCCACGCATCCCCGGTGGGGGTCCGAGGGCCCACTGTTGCTCAGCTGGGAGACCCGGGGACGGTGGGAGGGCATACATGGATGGGAGGGTGGACTCCGCTCCTGAGAGGGCCAGTGTGGAGGAGGGTCAGGCAGCCGATGGAGATGGGACAGTGTTCTGAAACGCTTCACAAATGTGGACTTTGGCCCCAAACTGTGGACAGAGCCTGTGTCCTGAGTGAGGGTCAGCTCTGTGAGTACCTATGGTAATTCCCCTCTCTGTGGTGCTGCTCTTTCAATTCATGTGTCAGCCTTAGAGAAAGCGGCTGTGACTTCTGCATTCCTGAGAGTACGCTGACATGAGAAGAAGTAGCCGCTCTTGTTCAGAGTCACAGGGCTGGACAGTGGGATAAGAACTGAGGACTTCTGTCTCCAGATTCAGCATGCTGATGATGGGGAAAAGCAGACACCAGTTCATCATTTCTTGTAAGCATCACTGTCCTCCATATTGGAGCCCAGCTCAGACAGCTGCATAGTATTCTATAGGGAAGGTGTGTTGTTGAAATATTGATTGTGCAAATTGAATTGTGTTTTAAGACTCCTGGGAAAACCATTTAAAGGAATCCTGTTGTGAGTCATTTTGAAAAAATGGAGAATTACACCACTTCCCCAAGGATTTTCTATTTTGGTAAATTTCATGTGGCAGGATTACTTAAAGAAGGGTTCCTGTGTTTTGCTACTTTATACTGGTTACTGCATAAGGAAGGTTTACTTGCCAGAGGTCCGCACACATTGGAGAACTGGGGGAATATGTAATACTTGTGCAGAAATGTTTTGATTCAGGTACTCAGAAGATGGGATCTGGATGACACCTCCAGCCTACTGATTCCCAAGTAAGGTGTGATGATGCCACTGCCAGCGAGGTGTGCTATGAGGAATTTTTGTTGATGATGAAAAGTGGATGCTAACTGATTGCATACCACATGCCCCATACCTTACATAGATTATCTTATTTAATTATTACTGATAATAGTACTACAGTCTGTGAATGATTTACTTAGCAATTAATTCAAAAGCATATTCCACTCTACAGTGGAATATTTTTTGAGCCAACAGATGAAGTACGTGGCCAGGCGCAGTGGCTTGCACCTGTAATCTCAGCACTTTGGGAGGCCAGGGTGGGCGGGTCACTTGAGGTCAGGAGTTCAAGACCATCCTGACCAACATGCTGAAACTCCATCTGTACTAAAAATACAAAATTAGTCGGGCGTGGTGACACATGCCTGTAATTCCAGCTACTTGGGAGGCTGAGGCAGGAGAATTGCTTGAACCCAGGAGGTGGAGGTTGCAGTGACCTGAGATCGCGCTCTTGCACTCCAGCCTGGGCAACAAGAGCGAAACTCCAACTGGAAAAAAAAAAAAAAAAAGAAATTAAGTATGTGCCACAACATGGATGAACCTTGAAAACATCATGCTGAGTTGAAGAAGTAAGACATCAGAGGCCACATATCACATGATTCCATTCCCATGCAATATCCCGATAGGCAAATTCATAGACATAGAAAGCAGATTAGTAGTTGCCCGGGGTGGAGGAGAGGGGAACGGGGAGTGACTGCTTCATGGATACAGGGTTTCCTTGAGGAGTGTTCTGGAACAAAATAGTTGTGGTTGTACAATACTGTGAATGAACTCAATGCCACTGAGTTATATACATTAAAATGGCTAACATGGTAGATTTTTGCTACATGTATGAATATATTAATGTATTAATGAGTGCGTTAATTACAATATTAATATATTGTGATAAATATATCAATATATTGTGATAAACATATAAATTGATTTTAATATATATTAAAATCAAATGTATTCCTCTAATGGTGTCCATTTCACTGACTTCGTTTCTGATATGTTTGTGTTGGGTGGGACAGAAAGGAATGGGTCATTTACGTGTACACTGAGGCTGAAGAAAGAATGGGACTTTCCAGTCCAGGCTCTACTTTTATGAGGAACCAGAGACCCAGAGAGGGCTAGTGACTTGCCCAAGGGCACAGAGCAGCGTACCAGAGTTGAGCTTTGGCTTCTAGCCTCCTCACTTTCTGTTGGGGAAATCACAGTGGGAAAGTGGGTTTTAGCTCCTTTATGTCTTTGGGTATGTTCTGGGTTACTGAGGATCAGCTGTGTTCCACCTGGCATTTTGTGCAGTCCTTGGGTGCTCAGGGAAATTGTCTGTCTCACCCTGAGGTGAGGCTCAGGAGGCTCTGGGGCTGTGTAGCAGAAATAGAAATAGCCCAAGTCCTGGGTTGTGTCCTCATGGATGTGTCTAGAATAATTCCAGTCGTGCTACTCGCTTTGGGCAGTTAGCGAAAGGGCCCAATTATGTGCAAATACATACGTTTGGTGTTTGATGGGAGACTTGCCATGTGACACTGCTTCTTCTTTTCTTCTCTTTTTGACTATAAACATCTGACACTACAGGAAATAAGAAACTTTCCAGTACCTAATTTATGCTCACTCTACTTTCAAACCCTCTTGGCCCCAGCACAGGGTAAATGAAACTGTAGCTTATAGTAATATTTACATATGGGAGTCAATGAGCTGTTTAAATACTTGGATGTCAGAAAAAGGTTTCAAATTTAGCAAGCCCCCTGACTCTCCCACCCTCTGGCATGTAGTGGGTAGGCCTGCCTGCTCTCTGAGGTCGAGCTCTGGTATCTTGCCCTGGTCGGTGGCAGTATAGCATTGATGATGACAGTGACGATGACGCCACTGGAACAGGCTGAGCAGTAATTGAATTAAATATCTATTTAATCCCTAGGAGAATCCGAATAAGGTTTCAGGATCTTGGAAGTTCAATTATACTCTCAGTAACTGAGGTGAGATCCGTAGGCAAGGAGTGACAAGATCGAGACTGATTAGCTACATGACCTTAGGAAAGTAATCTAAAGCTTGTTCACAGAGTCCTCATCTTTGAATGTGAACGATATTTCTGGCCTCTCCTATCTTACAGAGTTGGTGTGAGCATCTGCATGAGATGATGGACATTAAACTGCTTTGTTAGCTGTTGAGACTCTACTGAAATGAAACCCAAGGGTGGGTGCCACTGAAAGAAATAGGAATGAATGCAAACTGGTTTGTGTTGGGAGTTGTACTTGGCACAGCAGAATTTGCCTTTGTCTTTAGGAGAGTCTTAGCTGTGGGAAGCAGGGCTTGGAATGCACTGATATTTATTTCTGCCATCAAATCAGGATTATGAGGCACCTGATCTGTTTAAGGCCGTGTGAGTGGAACCAGGTCCTGCCTTCCAGAAGTTCATGGTTACATTGTGTTTTCATGGGTCACCTGGAAGGCGAGCTTGTGTGAGAGTGAGGAGAATTGACCTAGTGAATCCTTCCTGCCTCGAGGCCCACCATGTTATTCAAATCAGTCTTGGGGGAAATGCTGTAAAAGAGTGTGTGTGTGTGTGTGTGTGTGTGTGTGTGTGTGTGTGTATGGTGTGCATGCTCGCGTGCGTGAGTTTGTGTTGAGAGAAAGAAAAAAGCCGGGAGAGTAGGATGAGTCAGATTTAACCACTGTTTTTTCCCTTTTGAAACTTGTTATGTTCATACACATACAGCAGTCATGCACTTGCTCAGAAATGTGTGAAAACCACTTAAAATGTGTGAGATGCGGCCCTTTAGAAAGTGTGCCTTCCACCACATTCTCTTGAGCAGTGGAGTAGGTTTGTGAGTGTTCATATCTGTCCTCATCTGTGGGAATTGTATGTCCAAGGTGCTAGTTCAGGGCCATTCTGGGCCGACGTGTGTGTATAGACTTGTCCTGGGTGTGATGGGAACAAGACCATCTAGTGTATGATGGGGAATTCTGTTAAACAGGTAGAATTCCGAACCTCTTGGTGGTCCTGGCTGGTCAGTTGCAGGGAGTGACCTTGAATGGACTGGGAAGATCTGGGTATACCATGTTTCTGAAGACAGGATACGCAGTCCCTTAGCTTGGTATTTAAAGTTCTCTGGAGGTGACCACTTTCTGGATTTACCTTTGTGTGGCCCCTCTGCTCCTCCCAGGTGAGGCTCATCATAGCTCCTCTTCAACGTGCTTTCTCCACACCTGTTGCCATGTTTTAGCTCCCCTTTACGTTTCCTGGGACGCTCTCCCAGACTCCTCTGTACCTTTCTTCTTTCAAATCCAGAACAGGTCCCATCTCCTTAGTCTTAACTGTCTGTGAATGGTCTGTTGCCTCACTTCCCAGCTCTGGCATGCAGTACATGCTCAGTACACATTTCTGAATGCATTAATTTGGCTCTTCTCTGTGAAGGCAGCTTGTCTGTGTGTCGTTCATCTGCCCAAATTTGATTGTCAGCTTCCTTTGTACGAAGCTGTACTATTCTTTTTGTTGTTTTTCATAACTCCTTCCCCCTGCCTCCCACCACCCCAGTTAGAAGAGTTGTAGTCAAGGTCGTGTAGTCAAGGTCATGCAAGAGCTACACACTTGAACCTTTTCCATGTGATTTCACACAAGGCACATGGCCTCCTTGGGACTCACTTTACATTACTCGACAAGGGGATAGCAGAACCCACTTTGGCTGTATTGAAGGCTGCATGATGATGAGGAGAGAGTGAGGGATGGGAAAGAGTTTGGAAAACAGCAGAGCACAATGCAAACATGAGTTATTCATGGTTTTGTGTCCATGCTAACTGTGCCCTGACATTAAGGCTGGGCGGGTCTGGCCCAGGGCTTCCGGGGTAGGCGCTCTGCTGATGTCTGCTACTGACCTGGAGTCCAGGACCCCTGGGTCCCACTCACCCTCCCTGGGCTGCAGTTTCCTCAGCT